ATCATGTCATGTTATAAAATAATGTTTCTCAGATAATGACAAAGATAATGTAGTAAATAAGAAAAGAAATTGTTAAGAAAAGATAAGGCTACATTGTGAGATCAATTCTAACTTGGTAATGTAACTGTTGCACTCTACAGGGTGTTACAACTTTTATGAAAAATCACGTTATAATTGATACACCCTAAAAATTATAACTCTCATCAATACGATGTAGATATACAAATTAATTAAACTTCGTTGTTTTGTTCGCAATGGACCCAATGTTGGTAACCTCCTTTTTGATAAGACGAATATAGCAAATGAAATTACCAAACGATTTGTTCAAACGGGAAAATAGGTAGTAAAATAATAAAGATCCTTATTATAATTATAAGAAAAGAAAAACGATTCTAAATTCATTTGTACTTGCCAAAATTAAATTTGATGAGCTCAAAAAAGAAATAAAAATTATTTCAATTAAAAAAGCAGTTCGAAGATAATTTAAAAAAAGAATAACAACAAAATTACTCTTTAAATGTATAGAATACTTTTTTACCATTGTATTGTAATGTAAGCCTCTTTCGACCAGCTCTTCATGTTCTTATTTTTCTTATTTTAGATCTCTTACGATCTCCACTTTTACGTGTAATAAGAATATTCGATGAAATGAGTAAACCTTAGAAACTTCCCTATGGGACGATTATGGTATTGTTGGTCGTAATTATTCATTTGTTCTAGAATTCACTAGAATGATCACTACACCGTCTAGAAAACGATTTTTGAAAATCCGCTATTTTATAAAGTAGTTGGATCCATGAGAGGTGGTGAGATTAGAATGTGGTAAAAACTTCTGATCAATGCGAGAACATTAGGGTTGGCCACATTTTTATATAAATTGACTGGTAGGTTATTCCAATCAGTTAGTTTAAGTTGAGACATTGCTGCGAGCAGCAAATAATATCTTACATATAAATTAGTGAATAAGTAAATGGTATGTATAAATGTTAAAGAAGGAATATATCCAACTGCCTTTAGAAGAACCTAAGTGATACCCAACTAAAGGGTGTCACTATATTCGACTGACAACGTCCTACTCCAGAGAGCTCTCGTTAACTGATGAATTTTAATACAGTAACATGTACCCTTACAGGGCCTGTTTACCGAGATACAGGGTGTTAAAAGTTTGATATGAAAACTAAAAATTTTCCATAACTCAAAAACACTTTTAAATGTGACCAATATGCTTTTTAAGAAAGTAGTATTATGGCAGGTACTAGGTTTTAAAAAATTTAACCAGTGGCGAGCTTTTTTTTTATTCTCTGTTTACTTGGTATTTAAGCCCTTCAAGGGTTTGTGTTTAATTTATCAATTAGTGGAATTCGAATCAAAATCAACAACTATTTAACTATTTATTAAAAAGTAAAACATTTTTTTTAAATAGCTACTACAATATAAAATAAAAAAGGTAAAACATTAAATTAAAAAAATGGCGGGTGGTAATACTGAACATTAGGGTGGAGCGACATTTTCAATTTTGGAAATTTAAAATGCCTGTATTAAGGAAAGTTGTGTTTTAGCAAAAGAGAACAATTATATTTTTTTCCAATTTTTTACGCCACTCTTTCCACCTCCCCCCACCCCCTAAACATTTTATAATTTTTTTCTCTCAATTTGAAAACGCATGTGGGCGGAAAAATAAGTGCATGAAAAATGCGTTTTGTGGTAATTTTTGTAGAATTTTATGTTGTTCCCTTTCTCCTCCCCAACTTCCTCCAAAATATTAAATATATTTGTTAACAGAAATTATTATTTATGCCGATGCTTGTGTGACTCGCGTCAAGATTAAAATAAATGAAAATAATATATGAATATTAGAATTGTATTTAACGTATATCTATGGAAAAATAAAAACACAAAAGGCATATAAAATAAAACATACATTAGTTCCTAAAATCTTTTTTCGTTTCGAACTTTGGCATAAGATTTCTCGACTCAAGTGTACTTCTAATCATGGGCGTCGTTTGGGGGGGGGGGGGGGGGGGGGGGGGCAAGGGGGGGGGGGCAGTTGCCCCCCCCCCTGGCTTTTAGCGACTTAATCAACAACGCGTAAGATATGCATTACGAACAACAATCTTATATAGAAATAATAATATTCAGGCTAATATAGTTGAAGAATATTGTAGGTTGAATATATTTATTACATATCTGGATTCTCTTATTACGTCGCTTACATTACGCTTTTCCGAAGACTCTGTTAGTTTTTCCTTAAGCCATCCCAAAAGCATAAAAGCAATACTTTTTTCACTACTGTATAGAAAATGAAAGCCTTGGAAAAAGTTTGAATTGACAATTTTGAAGCTGAATACCAAACTGGAGTACGAAAGAGCTTTCTGCACACAATGAGCTCTCCATTAATGATATAGCATCCAAACATTGTGAATTTTATCCAGACATACAAAGTGCTTTAAAAAATATTTATGGCTCTTCCACCAACGACAGAGTTCATCGAAAGAACTTTTAGCACGCTAAGGCATGTTAAAACATGGCTGCGATCTATTCGATCAGTGAGAAGTCATGGTAGGGAAAGCAAAAGCGATAGTAGCGCAAGCTGCGGATAATTCGAGTACTTTAGGGCGATATTTTGCAATTTTGGCGTATCAAATACACGTATACATTTTACTTTTTACTAAAAAATAGGTTAAAAACAATAAAATGAGCAACCAGAGTTGCTATGTTGCAAATTGTACTAACAAAAAACTGTAAATTATATAAATTTTCAGTAACAAAATCGAAATTAAATAAAAAAAATAAATACACAGCTGTATAATAAGAAGAAAAAAACCTTTATTTTTGTAATAACAGTAATACTGGAAATAATAGACATCAGAAAAGGTTTTAAATAAACAATAACTTATTATTTTATGATATTCTTCAACATCCCTTAAGTATTAAATGTTTAGCAAATGATTAGATTTTTGCCTTTAATTATTGTATATGGCTAAAATGCAATCTTGTGACTTATTGATAGGAAACCAGTTTTAATCATTAATTTCTATGGGTTCTTTCGAACTAAAAATAAAGAAAATATAAATTACAATCGAAAATATACCAATTATTTTTGTTAATACGTTTTAATTCTACGTTGTTATATAATAGTAGTGTTTTTATTTTGACATTATTTAACCTATTCTTCAATGACAACTTATTAGGCTTAGGCAAGATCTCATACATTATCTCGTAAATACCTACCTATGTTTTATTATTGATTTTTATTGATTATAATACTTTTTTTAGCTGAAGTAATAAAAATATATAATAATATTATTAATAATTCTTTCACTTGTTTTATAAATCCATATACTTTTATTTTGTCATTTTTTTGTTGGGTTATTTTATTTATTAGAGACTTGTTATGACAACTTAAGCATCAGTTCTGTCAAATAGGTCATTGGCACTGTTAGGATTACTAACTACTACAGTTCCACTCCCCCATAGCTTCGCTATTCAGTGAGATATCAGATTAATTTTGTTCTGTTTGAAAGACTTTCTTATGATGGATTCAATTGTTCTGTGACGTCATGGCTTACTTCCGATTTTTCCAAAAATAACAGATTTTTTTTTATTTTCTAAAGGAAACCCTCTTTTATTGTTAATTTTAAATTTGTGGGACATTTTTGTATAATAATCGTGTATTGACAATTTTCTGTCAGCTGTCAAAATGGCTGCCATATTGGATAATATTTTTTCTAAATATGTTACTATTAATTCGTTTATGGAAAAACATATAGGAATGTACGAACTTTATAAAATCTTTTTAGGCTTCAAAATTCCCATTGAGACCCATTTACCGTATACCAGTGGCGTATCTAAGCATTTTTATTATTAGCAAACCGTTTAATAATTTATCCGCTTTTATCTTCGTTATTAATTGAGATATCGGAATGAAAACTTATTTGTTTAAAAGCTTGGGACAAATACTCTCATGTACTGGATTCAATTGGTGTGTGACTTCATGGCTTACTTCTGTTTTATCGGAAATAACAAAATCTCAATTTATTTTTAATTTTTAAATAGAAACCTCCGTTTTTATTGAACATTTGAATTTTAGAATCATGTGTTGAAAATTTTTTGTCAGCTGTCAAAATGATCATCATATTGGAACATATTTTTTTTAATATGTTAGTGAGACAATTTTCAATACACGCTTCTTATACAAAAATACCCCAGAAATTCAAATTTTCAATAAGAAAAAAGGGTTTCATTAAAAAATAAAAAAATTAATTGCGATTTTCTATTATTTCTGGAAAAACCGGAAGTAAGCCATGACGTCACAGAATAATTAAATCCATCATAAGAAACTTCTCTTTTATGTTTCATTTTCTTTGTTTTCCAATAAATAAACATACTAAATTTTTTCAAAATTTGCCCCCCCCCCCCCCCTATAGAATTGTGTAACGACGCCCATGCTTCTAATTACACCATCCCTACGATTTTTATCACACACAGTGCTGGAAGCTTGTGTTACAAGCTTAATATCCCTTTCAACGGCTTGTGTGTGACAGGGATAGTCTTTAATATGCAAAATGGCAGACGACTGAGGTTCTTCTACTATTTGCCATAAATGTTCTTCGGATAAACGCTTGGTAATAGGAGGTTCACTGTAGCTTAAATTCTGCCAGTCAACTAGGTCATAATAAGCATTCGCATCAAAATTAAACTCTGGAATAGTAAATTTTCGGATATCAACGGTAATGCCACAACAGGACTTTCATTTCTTCAAGTTTTTAAAATTCTTAAAACGGCAAGTTTTCTTATGGTACTGTTTTTGTCCCATAACATGCTTATTAGAATATTTTCAGGATGGCCAAAATATCCATTCCTGTGAATCACAGGATAGACAACAGTTTTTAATTAATCTGGTAAATATTTGCATAATCTAATAGTTTCAAATACATGCTTCGCCCCGTAAACGCACGAAGGTTTTGACTTTATTACAAATCACATCGGAGCGTAAACCTTCAGTGATTAAGCATTCCTGGATTACGTTTAGATAGACTTTCAGAACATGTGCCATTTATAATTGCCTGGCAAATGTCAAATAAATATTTTTGATTGGTTCCCAAATCATCGAAGGAAATATTGGGAAGTGTACTGCCAATAACTTGAAATTTAGCTATGGAAAGCTTTTCACACTCATTAAGAGCTCGTCCAATGGGTCCTTGAAAAGCACAAGGACCAGATGTATTACCATCTAAATGTTGAATTAAGTGGCGTAACGGTAATTCGTTAGCATGAAGCTCGCATATAAACCATTGCAATGGTCTTTTAACTTGATGTTCCAATAATGTTATGACTCCATCTTTATGTCCCGTATTTAAACTAGTACCGTCGCAACCTATAACTTGCAAATGATCAGTCGAAATAGATGACAAATAAAAAAACTCCAGCATACTTTTCACAATATTTTGTGCAGACTCACTGACAGGAGAAAAGTGCCCAAGATAAATAGAATCAGGTTCTTGTAGTAAGACTATATGTTCCTAGTGCTAGTTCGTTTTCGTTTGTCAGAAAAAACAAGGTCTTATCCTTTCTACCATTAAAATAAATACCTTTTAAAACTATTGCATCGCTCTGTAACTTTTGAAGCTTTTTTCGTTGATTGTCACGAGCTCTTTTTACTTTATGGCGATCAATAACATTTTGATTGTCTTCATTTTTAATTACACCGTAATCTTGTAATACAGCTGACGCTATTGCTGCCCCTGCTCTATCTGATACACCGTAGCGATCTAGGGCTTTTGATAACACCGGAAGATTTTTTAGATTTCGAAGAGGTACTTCAGATATTGCTGATGTACTCGGTTGACTTACATTAAGTTCATTTTCTAAAAATTTTGGAGTCACATTCTTTTCTTTATATTTAGATCTAACATTACTTTTCTCAATGGAGGTAATAACACTTAAACTAAATTGAAACTGCTTATTCTTATACTTGGGTATTCTTTTCTCTCTCTTTCTATGTAAAATTAAACGTTTTTTGTCGACATGACTTATTACCATATTTCGATTAGTTCGTTGATCTAGCAAAAAGGACCGCTCTTTCAGCGGAACCTGCAAATAAGATGCATTTTTTTGTTTATTTAATTTTTTTAGAGTAAAGTTTTATATAATTATGTTTTATAAATAGCTATATATAAAAATGTACATGATCTCAAAATAGAAATAATTTATAATAAATGCGGGTTAAACGAGGGGTAAAATAACAATAAATTAAGGGAAATACTTAAAAAGGGCAGGTTTAAAGAGTATTATCACAAGAAAGTATATCTGTTCTGTTTATTTATCAAGTATTGTTTAAGGTTACTATTGAATACATTTATTGTTTTTTTTTTTTTAATTTCTTTATGCAGTCTATTACATTTTTTAAACGTTTAATAAAAATTTTATTTTGGGAACTTTAAGTAATGGCTTGCCATACATAAAAGTCAGATTGGCTTCTTGTACTTTAGTTGTGATATTTCGAATTATATTGAATTTTTTCTAATAGATCTGATGCGATGGTACTGTCATTTTTATTTTATAAATAAATATCACTCATGTACTGAACATAATTATTGGGAACTGAAAGCCAATTTATTTCTTTTAACATAGTTGCAACACTCATCCTTCTGTCCCTTATTAATATTATATAAACAGGCGAAGTAAGGAGCCCAAATATTTTACATGAGCAGTCTTAAGAGGTAAAAGGGCCAATCATTATTGGATAAATTGCTCAAAAAGGTTTGTTAACCTTAATCAAAAGGCGATATAGAATGGTTTTAAAAATCAAGGCTTATGGAAGTATTAAGTGTAAGGGTTAAAGAAAAGGTCCTTTATTTCTCACAAGTCAATTTAATTGGCGACCGGTTTCGAAGTTGTCACTTCATCATCAGGCACACCTAAATGGAATGTCAAGGAGTCAGTTGTAATAAAAACAATTATAAAAGCATGAACGGACTTTAACATATACAAAATAACAGAAAAAACACATAGGAGATAAAGGCGAACCCATAGCTAATCCTGTTGTCTGTGTAAAAATTTCATTATTAAAGAGGAAGAAGTTTTGTTCAAGACTAATTGTTAATAAGTTCATAAGTTCCAACAGTTCTACATCTGGTAAGGTAGATAAAGACAAAGTAGTAAAAAGATTTGATACATCTAACGAAACTAAGTAATCTGTGTCAGTGACATAAACATCTTTGATTTTTTCTATCAATTGTACACTGTTCTTTACTGTATGAACAAAATAATCCTTGTAGTGTTCTTTAAGAATATCATTAAGCCATTTTGAGGTGTAATATGTTGGGGAATTGACGAAGGACACCACAGGCCTTATTGGCATTTCATCATAAACATCCGACTTATGTATTTTTAAGAGACCGTATAATCGAGGAATAAGTTTATGATCAGGTTTGAATTTATTGAAAAGAGTAGGAGTTATCAAATACTTACTATTCTTAAGAACGTTCTTAAATTTAGTGTTAAATTTATTTAGTGGGTTATTGATAGTTGTAAAATCGTTAGTATTTAAGAAGTTGTAAACTTTAGAAAGATAATCAAATCTGTTCATTACAATGAGACAATTACCTTTGTCAGCTTTGGTTAATATTAAATCGTTGTTTTTGATTTTTATAGAGATGCTTTTTTAATTTATCATTGTAAGAACCTGAGGTCAAAGTATTGTTGGGCAAATTAATATTTTCTTTTTCTTTTTTAAGCAAATTGATTACATCATTTCTAAGCAAGTCTTTATTAGCTAAATCAAAGTTTTGTAAAATTGATTCTGTTTCAACCGCTAATAGTTCTAAATTGTTTTTATAAGAATTATTGTTTTTAATTAAAGGATTGAACTTAATACCTTTTTTAAGTAACTCAACTTCTTCAACAGTAAAAACACAATCAGAATAATTTATGAGAGGTGTATGGAAATTAACAAAATGGTCATGTATGGACTGTGATTGATTAGGTTTAATTGTCTTAAGAGCTTGTAATTTCTTGTTTAGTGTTCTCATCTTATTAGTGTTGGAAATTAATTAAAGTATCTAAGTCATGTAAAAAGTTATTCAACACTATAAAGGGCCATACCTCTTTCAGTAAATCGTACATAGATTTTAACCTAATATCCAAAAAGTACAATTTCCTGTATTGTAATCTGATTTCATCCTTCAGCATTAGTGACTTCAATCTGAAAAGGCATCTTCTACTACCAGGGGTGATCTGCTCCCTATTAATCTTGATAGTTAAAAATCTAGGTGTCAAATTTTCTTGTAGGCAACGGTTATTGAAGTAAATATTACAGCTGACTTTCATTCTCTTCATGGCAAACGATCTGTAGCTACTGGCTAAAGTTGCTGGACTGGCAGTATGATTTGGAGTGAGGGTAGCCATATGTGAGTAGTAGGGATTAAGTGTAACTTAATGTACACTTAATCCCTACTACTCACATATGGCTACCCTCACTCCAAAGCTTATGGATGTCATCACATGGTTTAACCTAATTAATGCCAATGCTTCATAAACCAAAAAATTCAACGTCCTAATACTACTATCGGCTTTCGGTCTTTCGTTCCAAGTTAAATCATTTCTCGTTTCTGTTACGCTACGAGTTTAGCCTTGTGGGCTTCAGTCTCTATAAGGTGGGAACCACCATTTTAGCGTCTCTCGAATTTAAAATTGCTTAGCGGCTAGTAGCCAAGATCATCGCAGTTGGTAACATGTAAGCTCGATTCAATTGCATGTACCTCTCTAACAAGTAATCAACAGAGTGAAGAATTAGGCTGCCTTCAGCGACATCTAGACAATCACACATTTACCCAGACCCAAGCCGCTATGGCGGCAAAACAACCATATAAGAGCTAGGCGCCCCTGCTAATATAAATGTTCTGAGCAAATGATGTAAATATGTAAAAGATAATGTAGTGCTGTTGTGTTCGTCTTCCTAATAAAACAAACAGTGCTACAACATATGTCCCTTTCCATTATTACTGATCGTCAAAGAAACTACAACCAGCAACCTCTAGGATACGTATCTGTATCTGTAACGTGTGGAGGGTGGGTTACCCCCACGGCACTTAGGCCTCATTATGCCCATTGTGCATCCTCCTAAGATGATAGGCACCTCCTAGCTCGTGATCCTACAGATTTAATGTAGTTGACAACGTCGCCAAGAGGTGCTTCTCTTATATCGGCCGACGATAGCCGATACTCGCCGAACACAAATCTTCTAATAAATGAGAGCATCAGGCAATCGTTATGGATATTCTCGATGGTCTCATCTTCTCGTTCGCACCCTCTGCAGAGTGCGGATTCTGACAGCCTCATGATATGGAAATGCTTTCGTACTTGGCAATGACCAGTCAGAATGCCTGTGATCAGACGCAGATTCTGTCTAGTCATAGTCAAGTATTTGTTTGCTGCAGTGTTGTCAGGATAGCTTAAGAGCTCCCTGGCAACTCTGCAGTTTCTTGTTTCATCCCATCTTTCCTTGAATTTCATAAGGGAATGTTCTTTAATTAGGTCTGTCACTACCAATTTTGTCAGGCCAATAGAAGGGCCAGGTCCAAAAAGTATTTGGTTGTCTGCTTTCTTGGCTAGTAAATCGGCAAGACGGTTACCTTTCGATGTGGCGTGACCTTTAATCCATCTTAAGGTGACCACATTGTTGATGGATATTTCAGCCAAAGTTTCGTGACATTCTAGTACGAACCATGAATAAATTCGTGGTCTGTTCAGGGTGAGTAGTGCTTGTCTGCTATCTGTATAGATGAGCATGTTCCTTCCAGTGATATTATTTCTAATTATTTCTTTTGCTGCTATGAGAATTGCCGTTAGCTCTGTTTTAACTACACTGGCACTATTGCTCACAGCCCATTTTATGTTTAGTTTTAAGAATCTGGAGTATATTCCGCATCCTGAGCCTTGTTTTGTTTTAGAACCGTCGGTGTAGATATGAATCGTACCTGCCACTTCTGGCTTTTCTATTTGTTCTATTATAACTTTATATGGCTTATGGAAGATATATCTCGGTGAGATGGAGTCCATGTTCGCTTGAAGCAGTGGGAGCGTATCGTGCGCCTCCTGCCAAAATTGACGTCTCGCCTCACCAGATCCTACATCAGGTTCTATTCCAACCGTGCGGAGGCGTGTCATTGTCGTCAGAGAAACCTCCTTGATGTAAATATCAAGAGGAGTGAGACTAAGAATGACTTCCATCGCTCTGGTTGGTGTTTTCATGGCTCCTGTTATGTTGAGACATGCTGTTCTTTCAAAATTGTTCTAGTTTACGGATATCTGTTAATTTTTGGGTTTTCGGTACCCAAACAACTTCACCGTATGTTAGCATAGGTCTTATGATAGCCGTGTAAGTCCATGCGACGACTCTGGGGAAAAAACCCCAGTTGCGTCCCACAGT